GTCGATTCCCAGAAATTCACATGGCATACCTTTTATGGTAAAACATGAGAAACGTATAATAATACTACTTGACACATTACCTATTCAGAAATCATAACTTTACGGTTCGTGATTCGGATAAAAAAACCGAAATTATTCGGTGCTTTTGGCCCATTCTGGACGTCGTAAGCATTCAGTTCCTAACTTACCTTAGTGAAAAGGATTACAACAAAAGCTTCTTTCATTTCATTCAGCAGTTCATTCATCGCCCGGATCGTTTCCTAATCGACACTGAGCGTTGAACAGAGGATATTTAAGCTTATACGGGTAGGTGGAAGACATTTAAAATCCTTCGTACAGGTACCCCATGTCAGTTCATGCAGTATAATATATGTCCTTGCTGTCCTTGCAAGCTCCAAGGTATTTTAAATGCGTGTTGGCTGAATTGGGTCCGTGATCGTCGTCGGCAGAGCCAAGAAGATGGCTTCTTCACGCAAGGGCGACAACTTCAGGAACTTCGACCGTAGCAGAATTGACTCTGAAGGGCGAAAAAGATCACTGTTCGCCAAAATGTTTACATCAAATGGGTTCAGGTAAATCCAAACAATCCTGGGGATAGAACCGTCAGCTGAACCGTTCTATCAGCCTGGTGGCCGAACAATGCATCCAAACACTGGCACAAATATGTCCGAAGATCAGAAATGCGAGCTGCTCGAGTTGCGCGGGCGCTTTAAAAATTCGCACCCCTCCGTCTCGTCCTTCAGTTTTCGATGCCTGAGATAAGAAAGGCAAAATTTGGTCGAGTTTACTTACCAGCGTAAAATAGTTATAGTTTGAGAATTAACAAAATAGCGGAAGGATTCAGATTTGGAATAAACACACTGCTTTTTTTGAAATGGCGGGAAATGATTATCATGTGTTCACCTAATAAGGGCCTTTTTTGCAAAAAGTAAAACTCAGACTTCGCATTTTTATGTAAACTTGACGGTTACCGTTTAGTATGTCAGTTAACATACATTGTCAAAAGTGTTCTAAAGTGACCCTTACAGATTATGACGAGACTATTTATACAAAAGTTTAATACAAGAGAATGAGATTTACCATTAAGGTGACTCGACCCAGTTTTTTGGGGGGGGTACCATCCTACTTTGAAGCTCTCTGGTATCCCCACCTTTACTTTTATCGTAAGTCTAACACAGAATGGATAACATATAGATCAATCTACAATATAACATAAAATTTTTGGCGATCGGAGTAAATGTCACGTGGTTATAATGCCACGCCCCTTTGAGGTCTGAGTCGAAAATCTGCTGTTGCCGGCATTTTTTCGTGAAAATCTCTCGGCTACACATAGTGCGCATTAGTGCCTTGCGCTGAACAGAGTTTCACCAAAATCGCAAAGACCCAATTCGAGAAATTCAGCGGTTTCCAAATTTAGGTCATAATTTATGCGAAAATGATAAGCAAACTTTACACGGATTATATCTAATAAACTATGAGATTCATCTCTTTATTTTGGGCATCGTTATAACAGATGGGTCCTTGCAAGTCAGCAAAACGCTTTAGGGCCTTGTAAATGCGCGCGATTTCGAGCAAAGCAAACATATAGAAATTATAGTTTTCGCTATTTGTTGACGTTTGTCAGCGTTTAAGAGTCCTTCTCACGAAAAAAGCATTTTCTTAAAAATTCGTAGTTTTTTTTCCTTCAAATTTTTTCAGGGCCACAATTGATTAACTAACTACCCGGACTCTGAATTTCATGGTCATTGAAAAACTGTGACATTATCTTCTATAAGCCCAAACTTGAGTAAACATTGAAGATTTTTAGCGTTTTGGCTGAGTTTGTGCTTTGGGAGTTGTCTATTGTTTCTAGTCTGTCATTATACAGCATTCTTGTTCAGCACGCGTGCAATGACCGCGCTTGGCTGACTTCCGAATGCTCACCGAGATATAATAATTTTGGTACAGTGAGACAGGCCATCGCGTGATACATAGAGGTTTAAGTCACAATTTTTAATCAATTCTCGTGCTTCTTGTGCCTTTGCAAAAAAATCAAGAAGTGCTACACACTAAATCTACTTACTATTAAAAAAATATCATTTTTTCATAGGTTTAATGCAAGCCAATAATTAAACCAACTCGTGACGGGAATATCTCGGTGAGCATTCGGAAGTCAGCCAAGCGTGGTCATTGCACGCGTGCTGAACAAGAATGCTGTATAATGACAGACTAGAAACAATAGACAACTCCCAAAGCACAAACTCAGCCAAAACGCTAAAAATCTTCAATGTTTACTCAAGTTTGGGCTTATAGAAGATAATGTCACAGTTTTTCAATGACCATGAAATTCAGAGTCCGGGTAGTTAGTTAATCAATTGTGGCCCTGAAAAAATTTGAAGGAAAAAAAACTACGAATTTTTAAGAAAATGCTTTTTTCGTGAGAAGGACTCTTAAACGCTGACAAACGTCAACAAATAGCGAAAACTATAATTTCTATATGTTTGCTTTGCTCGAAATCGCGCGCATTTACAAGGCCCTAAAGCGTTTTGCTGACTTGCAAGGACCCATCTGTTATAACGATGCCCAAAATAAAGAGATGAATCTCATAGTTTATTAGATATAATCCGTGTAAAGTTTGCTTATCATTTTCGCATAAATTATGACCTAAATTTGGAAACCGCTGAATTTCTCGAATTGGGTCTTTGCGATTTTGGTGAAACTCTGTTCAGCGCAAGGCACTAATGCGCACTATGTGTAGCCGAGAGATTTTCACGAAAAAATGCCGGCAACAGCAGATTTTCGACTCAGACCTCAAAGGGGCGTGGCATTATAACCACGTGACATTTACTCCGATCGCCAAAAATTTTATGTTATATTGTAGATTGATCTATATGTTATCCATTCTATGTGTTAGACTTACGATAAAAGTAAAGGTGGGGATACCAGAGAGCTTCAAAGTAGGATGGTACCCCCCCAAAAAAACTGGGTCGAGTCACCTTAAGGATTCCAAATTCTTAACAGTAATGAATGCAAAAGACAACAGCTAATAAAGCATCAGCTTTTCACTTCTGATGTTGACATTTAAAGCTGGTTTAAGATCTTGCATAAACAATGTTTCTTTTAGTCTATCTTGCAATGATAATCTGATTTGCCAGACGATAAAATATCAAAATGATGCCACTTAATGTTATGCCCTGTGGCATTGACATGGTCAGCTATTGCTTACAGTGCTCATTTTTAGTTAGGGCCTTAAAGTGTTCAGTCTTCCTTCATGTTCTTATCATGGAGTCGTCGCTTAGGTTTGCCAATATAAAAATCATTGCAGTCCCAGCAACTAGCTTTGAACTACTAGTGTTTTGAAAAATTACCTTTAAATTAGCACAAGAGTAAAACTGTAAATATAGTCGAACCTTTTCACAACCATAGCAACGTCCACCTTGGGGACAGACGAGAGAGCTGGCTCTTATGGGGACGTCTTTTTAGGGAGTATAATATGTTTATTGTGCTAAGTTCATGCTTACTAGTATTTTCTACAAGTATCGTGGACAATTTATGCTTACTGCAGCAGTATAAATGAAACAAAATCAGAGGGTACGCGCAGCAGGTTTGCAATTGGGGGCCGGGAAGGGTAGCTCACTTCGAATGCATGAGCGTGAGTCAATTAGAGGGGTCCGGAGTCCTCTGAAATGGCTGGAAATGCATTTGGAACTAACTTGCATGGTGTGGTGAAACTTATATACTTTCAGCACAAAAAAGCGGTGTTTTAAAATAAGAATTTAATTACCTTTTCCCAAACAGCAGCAGCTTGTGCTGTCGCGCCTTCCTTAGATAGATATTCGGCTACCGCCCTTAATCAATCTTTTTCTTTATTTTACCAATTCCTGATGGGCGGCTTCGTGACGACGCCAAGACAGCGAGACAGCAGGTATTTTGAGAACGGACCACTGGGGTCACTCATGGGTACCAGTGCACTTGAATAATTTACGAACCCGATTGTAAACTATTTGAAAAAACGGCCCAGGGCAGGTGCTTTCGAGTCGGGGCTTTCGCGCTGGATTGTAGAATACTAGAACGTTGGCCACAGTTGAAGGAAGAGCGTTCACGAGAAAGAAAGAACAAGCTTGGACCAGGAGCCTACTGATTCATGGCTGAACAAATGGCGACATTTTTTCTGCACTTGTGAAAAATCTTACCCCTAACAATTTTTACTTCAGCCACGACCTGCCGCCATCATCGACGCGCGAAAGTTCGATTCCCCCGTTGCTAAACTTCGCTGGGGCTACCTGCGGACGTTATTTTTGTCGCGCGTTTTCCATCGAATCTTCGGTGTTTCAACGAAATCGTCCCATGACATATCAAGAAATGTTTTGCTTGGTAACAGTACTAGCGGCTCGATCAGCCACTGGACGATGACGACGACGACAAGGTTTTACAGTAACAAAGCAACAGGTTTTACAGTAAGAAAACAAAAACTCTGAAGGTACAGCACACTTTCTGGCAAATTTCTTTTCCGTGATCTACAAACGTTGTCAAACTTGATCTGAATGGCAATGCGATCAACCCTTTAAGATCGTCATCTCGACTTCGATTTTGTCAGAAATACCCGTAGAAAGACTCATTGCTGTTATTGGGCTTTTGTTCTGGCCCGCATGCAAAGTGGATTTTACATATGTAGCTTCCCACGCAGACATTCTTAGGGGTCCGTCACGCGGTCCGTGGGGCAGGAACGCGTGACGAACCGCTAAGAACGGCTTCGATACATGCTCTGGCACAACATGTCCAATAATACACCTTTTCCTAATTTGTTCACTAAGCTTAGCATTTACCAATTTTATAAACCTAGGCAGTGGTTAGGGCGCCGCCCATCCGGCATATGATATGTTATGGGCTCTAGTGTCATCGGCTGTTTTTCCTGCATTCTACGCTTATAACATGACGATTATTTGACCTTTCTTACCTTTCTGGTTGTTTGCAATCACGAATTAAGCAGCATTTCTCTTTAGGGTCTACGGCTTGTAAACATGTACTGTGACTTGTGCCAAACCAGAAAACTTCGCAGAGAGTTCCCTGCCAATACCATTACGGATAAATGTCAACATGCGCCTCTGCATTGCTTTAGGGTGAGTACGTACATGCTGCAATTCCAGTTATAATTAATACATCATAGACGTTTGTCGGTAGTTTCGAAAACGAAGCACTCGAAAACGAAGACCGAAGCACGAAGCACCCAAAATTCGAAAACGAAGCACCCAAATCTCGAAAACGAAGCACCCTAGATCGAAAACGAAGCACCCAAAACTCGAAAACGAAGCACCCTAGATCGAAAACGAAGACCCCAAAATCTCGAAAACGAAGCACTCAAATCTCGAAAACGAAGTACCCAAAACTCGAAACCACTGTCGGCTGTACGTCTTGCATGACGCAATCCGAATCAGGTGGAGGCAGCGGATGCGTCCGCACCTCCAAAGGTCCACAAAATCCATCCCAAGGTTTTATAAGAGCCTGCCAACTGTTTAACTGAACGTTTCTAGATGGGATACAGTGTATTAATTTTATTATTGGTCTCGCTATACTTGATACATCTTACCTTAATATGCGTTTTTTCGGTACACATGCATGTTTATGTAGACTTGAAAAAACTGTCCGTCAGCAGATTTTGGCGTATTCAAGTACGCGTGAGCAGTAACACTAAAGGTCTGAAACGAGGCTGAAAACGGAGTGTGACGCTCGCGCGTATTACTCTTACGCCACGCTTTACCGACTTCTTTACTGATTTTGAGAAAAAAACCGACTGTTTTGCAGTCTACCATATCGGATATTTATGCCACTGCGTGATCAGATCAGATCAGATCCAGGCAGAATTTGTTCTAGGGTAATAGCCTGGGATCAGGCTCTATGGTGGGGAACAGGAGAATTTTGAAATAAAAGGAGCGAATAAAAAAAGGAGAGTTAAGCTACTGAGAAGGAGGTCGGTGGGGCGAAGCCTGAAGATATGCTTTTTATGCCACCGATCCACCTTTAACTACACTAATTTGCAAATGGCCTTTAACGAGGAATGGAATAGAAAACGCTCATCATTTTTGTACGGGGATACTTGCAATACAGTAATACGGCAATACAGTAATATTCTAGAAATAGTTTGGGCGTTCTCAGTTTTCTGATCACGTCCAAAACATAGCCTCCCACCGGGCCTCCCACGCAGCGGTGGAAATGCATTTACAACTTGAGTAGTTGAACTGCATTCGATTCGTTATCGAATACTCGTTATCGCGCTTGATTTCTGCTGTATTTACATTGGTCTCGTGTTTATAAAGGAAAGACCGGTGTCGAGTTTTTGGGTGCTTCGTTTTCGAGTATTGGGTGCTTCGTTTTCGATCTAGGGTGCTTCGTTTTCGAGTTTTGGGTGCTTCGTTTTCGAGATTTAGGGTGCTTCGTTTTCGAGATTTAGGGTGCTTCGTTTTCGATCTAGAGTGCTTCGTTTTCGATCTAGGGTGCTTCGTTTTCGAGATTTGGGTGCTTCGTTTTCGAGATTTGGGTGCTTCGTTTTCGAGTTTTGGGTGCTTCGTGCTTCGGTCTTCGTTTTCGAGTGCTTCGTTTTCGAAACTACCGACGTTTGTCACCGTTTAGTGATTTCAGTCTACACCACTGGTTCGTTGCGTCAGTTGCGTCTTGGCCTTGTTAATCAATCAATCAAGCAAGCAAACACAAGCAACTCAAACACGGTTCAAACGATCAAAAAAGACGGTTTTCTGAAGAACTAGTATGAATTTTTATTCGAAATTTCATCATGTAGGAAATCATGGAGTGGACTAAAGAAAACATCTGAGAAACCTGTACGTTTCCGATAACAGAAAGGCACGATAATGATGGCAATGTTGTGGATTAAGTTTATCTTTGGTTTAAATTTTGTCTTCCTTTGTTTTAAACTCATAATCGTACATTACTACTACCATAGTCGAAATCAAAAACAGGAGAGTAATGAAATTTAAACTAAATCAATTGGTGTTTCCTTTTGTTTTTTGTTTTTGTGAAGTGATTTGGAAGTAAGAACATCAAAGAACAGCTTATTCTTATTTTTTCGTTTCAGTGTCTAACAAGGCACGTCCAGGAGTTTCGTAAGTGTTCTCAGTGTCCTCAAGCCGTAAAAGTCGACAACTCACGTTATCTTGAATGCTTGGCCACGCTCGAGAATCTGTTTCCAAGACTCGAAGTGTCTTCTGCTCCTGGAGATGCCGACTGGCCATCCGCGGAGGGCGACAAGACGATATCTGTTGTAATGTTGGGTGGGGACAGTACTGTGGTAGAGTACCAGCCAAATATGTCCATTCTAGCGCTGAAAGCCTTCATAAAGAGCAGACTTGGTCCAGAACCTGACAAACAACGACTGCTGTATAAGGAACAAGAGCTCAAGGTAGGACCAACTCGAGAGATATATAACTTGCAGCTCTAATGAAACGTTGGGTAAGATTTCGCTCTTCTTTTTTGCTCTTAGATATGGTTATTTAACGGTAAATATAAAATGCGACTAAATAACGTTTGTGACTATCGATAATAATAATATTATAAATAAGCTCTACTACACAACGTAAATTCTTTTTTAAACTTTGAACGCAACTTTGATTCCCGACTTGTGGTCCTTAACGGATTACAACATGTTTCACATCTTGTTATCATGTAAAATTGTTAATGTGAGTTATAGGAGACGTTCAAAGACCTTTTGCCAACGTTACGTGATCAGTTGCGCCAAGAAACCAATCTGTGAGTTGTTTGACTCTGAAACCGCACAGGTTGTCGAAACGTCAGTCACTGTCAACAACAACAGTCCTATTCAGGACTAAGTTCAGCCGGACGATCAAACTCAACCTACTTTTGAAATGACTCCTGGGTTCAAACCTTTCACACTCTTTACAAACCAATCTGCATAGTACTGTTAAGCTCTACTCTCTGGAGTATTCAATGCGCCTTCTCATGAAATGAAAATTAAGTACTAAACCGCCAAAATAACAGAAATAACCTTCTGAAACTTATCAACATCTCGGTAAAACTGCTAATTCGTCTTACGATTTTAGTTTTTCGAAGTTGAATCGTGAATTCGTGTTGTTTATTGTTCCCTGGGCAGTGTACGTCTTATAGCCTCGTTCTCAACTACTTTGCAATTGATTCAGTTGTTTCTTTTTTGTAATGGTTGTTCTTTTTCTTTGTCGTTTAGACTCATTCAAGCTCCGGTATACTAGCTACTTTACAAGATTACGGTGTCCAGCCATTTAGTACACTGTATCTAATCGTGGTGTTGTATGAGATTTCCGAGGATCTTGATCACGTGATTTTCGACTTGTTTTGGGGTTATCCTGCCAGCGGGTGTGACTTCTTGGACGCGTCCGTTCTTATTTACAGTGGCAGCTCGTTTCAAACGCTAGTCGATTATAGTCATCGTGGTTTTAGCGGTGTTACTCACTCCGGTGATGTAATGGACAACACTAAGCGTCTTGGTCATCATACCATAAATGTGAAGCTGAAAAGCTTGCCTTCTTCTGTTGACAAGCTGTTCTTCACGCTGAGTGCATATGGCTCACCAAACATCTCCAAATTTAAAAATCCCAGCTTGCGCTTCTTTGACGCCAAGGAACCCAACAAGCAGCTCTGCAGCGATCGGATGGACCACGCAGCTTATTCCCAGGCCATTATCATGTGCAGTCTGTGTAAGATCAACCACAGATGGAAAGTGTTTAGTTTACGCACACTGTCCGCAGGAAATGCAAGGAATTATTCCCCATTGCAACAAACAATTGGTGGGATCATTGCCCAAGGATTGTGTTAGAAATCAGATTTTTATGACACTGAAAAGATCTTGTAACAGCTCTTCATTAGAAGAAAAGACTTCAATAATCTTTATTTTTACAGCAGTGCGTCTTAATACTAACTGGGATCGTACATGTACGATTGTTTATAGCTTATTCTCATCGTATAAAACTGGTTCTCGGGTTTTCAGTCCTCCATGTGATGTTGATTAACTGATTCTCAAAAGGTCAGGGAACAAACACTTCTAGTCGAAAAAGTGCCTTGCTGCCTAATTTTTGAAGTTATCGATGTGGCGCTTACATGAAGCTTGTGAATTACAGTAGAACCATAGCGTAGGAGGAATAAAGATGTGCTAAAAAGCTTTGAAGGTGTATATATCCCTTTCCAGACCCAAGGTCCCCGAGTAAATGACATGACAGCAAAATCAATAATCATCAGCATCAACACTGGAAAAATTAATAATAATGATGATGATAATAAAAATAATAATAATAATAATAAAAATAATAATGATGATGATGATGATGATGATGATGATGATGACGATGATGATGATGAAGATAAACGAGAGAGGGCGGTTACTCTTTCGAGTGAAATGGAAGCTTTAAAAACAGAGGACGCTTACGAAATTGACGACACGTGCGCATGTCTAAAGGTCGGTACACACTAGGCGACAAGTTGCAGGACCATGTCGCGGCGACACGTCGCAGCGACAAATCGCTTCGTGTACTGGAGAAATTTTGAGAAAATCTTTGTTTTTGCAACAGAATTTTGTCAGAGCTACATGTGGCAAAAAAAATCAAATCAGACAGAATTTGTGCGACTTGCTGCGGCGACAAAAATTCTGTTGCAGATGCAAAGATTTTCACAAAAATTCTCGAGTACACACGAAGCGATTTGTCACTCCGATGTATCGCCGCAACGTGTTACTGCAACTAGTCGCCCGATCTGTGCACACGGAGTGATTTGTCGTCGCGACTTGTCGTCGACTGTGTTCCGAACTTAAACACCGAATTGACTAATCGCAGAGCGGCAAATTAAGTGCCTGAAGTCACGCTCAGTCCTCTCCACCCAATGTTGAAGTTGCGTTGTCTCATACCTTATATGGCTAATATGGAAATTTGCAACTTGGGCTTCCTTACAGGATTCCTTGTTGTAAATAAGAAATTCGGGCGTGACAGCCAAGCATTTTAAACTCTTGAACGCTGGCGTCGGGATTCAAACGCTTCTTTTAACTTTTAATCTACCTTTTTTGAAGAATTTTAGGTAAACGAACATTTTTCTGTGCGAAATTACAGACACACTACATTACACTTTTGCATTTTGGGCAATTTTTTTTTTAAGAGTGGAGGTTCCCTTTAATCCCCACTACTCTTTATCAATCTAGTCCTTTGATGGAGTCAAAGCCAACGACACTAAATCTGCAGTAATACACCGCTGAGTATAGCGATCTTTTGTAAAGCCGTGGGGTCTGTTTGTTTCACTTTTTTAACGTAATCTTCTAAGTGGAAATTGTTCTTTTCTAGTCTCGGATATGTAAAGCGCAACTCTTTTTTCCCTCTTTCTTCATTGCTTCTAGTTTACTAGCGTAACAAACTTGCTCGGAAACGCTTCCTACGCAGGCTATTTCTTACCATAAAGGACGCCTAGCGGCATTGCTTTAGAAAAACAATTTGTTGTCTTATATAAACTTTTGAGGTGGAATTACGATTCGTCTGTTGCTCAGTACTTACCCTCTCTCCCCAATGCCCCTCCCTTTTTACCTTCCTCCCTATCGCCTACCCCTTTCGACGCCCGCATGCGTGGCTGGTTTTCACATTACGTCATCAATCAAACTAAAGAACATTATCGAGCCTAATGACTTTTTACTTTAGGGCAAGTATTAGAGCAGCTAAAAACAAACATTTCTACGCATTTTCACTTCGAAAGGGTCTTTTTTGGTGCATAATAGAGTACGCTAGAATTTCTAAGCTTTTACGTGCCACGGCATTTACATGGCGGCCGAGAGAGCTGTCACGTAGGATAAAAAAGTGACTTATTTGGGGGAAATTTGCTGTCTGAACCGTTATTATATTACAAAAAGTACTACTTTAATGTCGGTATAATGCTTATGATCGAGTTCCTCAAGAGATGAATCCACGCATTCTTAACAAACTCAGTAACAGATGTTTCTGTGGGTTCCGGTCGGCATGTTGGCATGTTGTTGCCCATAGTGCGGACTATGCCCATCCGGATGGGTACCAATATGGCGCGGGCTCCATACAAAGCTCTGGTATAAATATGGGCAAATCATTTCTCCAAATATCTGGCATATTAAAAACTGCACTTACCCGAAACTCGACGAGGGCCCCTGTATAATTACTCCTTTTTCTTTCTCAGATTCTAGAATTTATCTATCGAACAGTTTTCGGATTTTAATTTTTTTATGTCGTGACGAGACCAGCAGGCAACGACGACGGCGACGGAAACGAGAACGGCCAAAAAGTAATAATAGGTTTCGATTTATAGCAAAACAACAACTTTGCTCGTGTATCATACGCTTTTGTGTACATTTCTTTGCCGTGGTTGCACGACGACGACGAAAACAAACACAAGACAACGATTTTTTTCTTTTTGTGAAGTTAGATGCGGTTCTTTAGAAATCAACTTCTGAAGAAATCGTGAACATTTGGCAAATTAAAAGAGTTGGAAAAAGAGCGTTGAAGTTTGAAACAGCGCGAATTCCTTTTTTAAGAGACATTTTTCTAGCCGTCCGCCGTCGTAGTTGTTTAAGCCCCCTAATGAGGAAACTAACTCACGGCCCCTATACTATGGTGTCCACAATAACGGACTAGATTATGCACATGGGTCATATCTGCGCAACGGTCTCGATAGTTTGACTAAACAAAGGGGGTTTTTTTAGTTATGTAGAGAAAATACCGGATGTTAAGTGAAAAGATGATTACGTGGCCACTGCCCACAAGAGGATTCTACCTACCCAGGAGCCCATCAATGACCTACCCTTATTTGTAGCCTGCGTGGCAGGCGCAAAAAGGGGAGGGGAGGGGGGAGGGAGAAAGGGAAAAGGGAAGGGAGCCCCCTCCCCCTCTCCCCAATCCCCTTCCCCTTTTTCCCTTCCTCTCTATCCCCTACCACCTACCCCTTTCGACGCCTGCCCCTCCCCTTTTTCCCTTCCTCTCTACCCCCTACCCCCTACCCCTTTCGACGCCTGCTACGCAGGCTACTTATTTGGTATGAGTACCAGTGTAGCCTGTTCCAGGCTCTGAGATAGTCGGGTTCGCGAAATTGAGACAGAAACACGAACATGAAGATAAAACGGTGGAGAACTGGGGAGAGGAAGGGCTTCCTTAATTTTCCGGCCGCCGCCCTTCGCCGCCCCCTTTTACGCGTGCCTTACACCATCCTATCTGAGAGCCTGGAACAGTCTAGCTAGTACCAGTGATACCGCGCTGTTATCGCCGTTAATTTATCGCCAGAAACTGAAGGAACTCAGGATTTCTAAAAGACACTTGGATTAGCACAGATTAGCCTAACCTGGGCAGATAAATTAACTTTTCGCGATCGTTTAGCGATAAAGTGAAATTTGTGGTAAATCTAGTGTCCTGATCTCATTTTCTTCAGAACAAATGGTCACACATAGATCTTGTGTGGGCTTCAGAATCTGTGGCACTTGTCAGGTTGTTCTTGCAGTAAAACTCCCTGTTTGTCAGTTCTTCAAACCTGCTATTCGAATTTACACATACACGACTTCAAAGAACTACGGCTTTTAAAAATGGTAAACCGCGCCGTGTTGTTTAGCAGCTCTGTTTCACAAAACTATTTTCGGAGATTCTTTTGTGGTTCACCACAAAAAGGCATTAGTGGTAATTAGTGATAAGTTCGAAAAAACCATTAAAAGTTTTCCACGACTGATTCCAGACAAAGGGCGTTTTTCAATTTCCACTGTATCCTCTAGCTAGTACAGAAAAGATAATAAAATGAGCTCCCACCGAAGCAAAGTAAAAAAAAAGAAGAAACAATCTGAATAGAATTTTTAGGAGTTTCAAAGCCAGCTTGCTCAGTGCCCAAAAAAAACCAGACACTTTATATCGTCAGTAGGGTATTCAGTTGCTGTCGTAGCTGCTTCCTCGGTTTCGCTGTTCCTGTGCTTCATTTTCCCTTCTTTTGTCCCGTGCTCAAGTAAGAACGTCGAAGCAAACGTAAACTTCAAAACACTCCGTATTTTTGCGTATTCAAGTATGCGCGAACATTCAAACAGAAGGTGCTCGACCGTGAGACTCTAATGCTATTCTTACATTACGTTAAACAGATTTTGAGAAAAAAAAACCCGACTGTTTTGCAGTCTAAAGCAAACGGGAAATATGATATTTATTTCTGAGCTTCGTGCTACAAAAAGAATAGAAACCACGCGCATTTTTCATTTGACAGCACTATGACCGCAAAAAACATCCAAATTGCCTATTGGCTACATGATGTGAGTTGCTTGGCCCACCAGCTTTGGTTCAAGAAACCATCAGCTTTCATGGGCTTGTTTCCAACTTTATTATTAAAGGGGTACGTGAGAAAAAAAAAAGTGGCAACTTTCTATGCATCTAAAATTTCTGTTCAAATACTAGTAAGCTAAATCAACTGCCTTCAGATTCAAAAGCGAAAAATTCTGTTACAATTATAAATTTCGGTACTGAATTCGTGACTTATTATCCATCGTTCGAGACACCAAAATAGCCTCTGAAATGTTCTAAATTTATTGTGCAATTTTTCCCTCTGTACATCACAAACTCTCGCTCATTATGGAATCATATCTATTTTGACGTGAAATGACAGAAAATGTGCTTGGGCTAGAAATTGACATGAGGCCCAAACTTTTTCAGCTCAAAAAACTCAGCCTTTGTCAACTGTACGTATGCCAGAACAGTGACAAAGGAAGCTGACTAGTCTACTCAGATAATTTTTATTTTTCCTATGTTCAACTTCATTATCAACATTACCATACCCAAAAACAAAAGAAAAACAAAAATA